CGCAGCCACCCAAAAGGCAAATGCAGTTTTGGACTACATGAATAGGGGCATTAGGTGCAACATATTAGAGGTCACAGTGGCTCTCTATTTGGCACTGGTAAGACCTCATCTAGAGTTACTGCATACAGTTTTGAGCTTCACTTTTTTCTGCCTTCAGAAGCACTGGGTGTTGGCTGCAGCCAGAACTGGTGAAAGGCCAGTGCTCCTCCTGGGACTAAAACCCAGAGGTTCCTGCCTATTGGGTCTTGCCCCTCTACTCAGGGTCAGACCGATCACCACATTTGGGGTCAGGAAGAAATTTTACCCCATGGTCAGACTGGTATAGCCTGTGGGTGGGGTTGCCTTCGTCTGTAGTGGGGTGCATGGCCATCTTGAAATTTTCAAGCATATTTTAACAATCCTTGCAGCAGCAGGACACTGACCATCATTGTCTCCTGGCTTTACCAGTGCCAGGTTAGGGAGCTATGCTTTGTGGTTGTGTGGCAGCATTGCCTGTATAGTTTTAGTAATAAGTTACACAGGGATTTGCTTGGGATGGTTTGGATAGGAATGATCCTTCCTCAGGCAGGGGGGCTGATGACTAAATGACCTCTAGAGGTCCCTTCCAGCCCTACTTCTCTATGATTCTATGAACAGAAAAGGACTTAAATTAGTTTTCCCTGCCTTGCCCCAAACACCATAAGAACCCTGGGCAAACTGCACCCCAACACTCTCTGCCCATCTCCTGCTTCATTTTCTCCCTCTCCAGTGGAGGAGTTTTGATCTCGGCATCCCCCACTTCCCTCGACAAGGGCTGCTACAATCCTGGAGAAACCTGTTTAGCAAACCCAGGAGGGGCTCCAGCCAGCACATCACAACTTATGTCTCCAGCATGACGTACCCTGCAGTTGCTGAAAGTGGTGCATCAGCATCTGTTTCCCCCTCCTAGGGTGTGTTTCCTGACAGGGAACGTGTTTGTTTTTCTGTGTAACATATACATACAGCACCACATGCAGCAACTTCAGCCAGACCATTTCCTTCCCATAATTAGTCTGCCTGAGTTTGCCAAAGTTTTCCTTCCTCATCAGGATAACATGGATACTTACAGAGTTTGCTTGAAAACAACAACATACACACACCATCCCTTCCCACAACACCCTGTCCCCTTCCTCCCCAATACACAGAAGTCCAGGGACCAGGGGACTTGCATAAGAGACCTGAGTTCAAGTCCCTTCCCCACCAAAGTCAGACCAGGTTCTTGAATCTGGGTCTTTCACACCCCAGGCAAGTATGCAGCTGTCTGTTGTTTTGACTAGAAGTCCCATCCTAGACCTGAGAAACTTCCCTTATGACAAGAGTTCCAAGAACACAGTCTACAAAAATTATCAGCTTTACTAAATAAATAGTTTCCAACAAATTAACAGGTTTCATCTGCAAATGCCCAACCAGCTCTAATCAGGCTACAGCATTCATTAGCTACAGGCATCCCAGGGCCTTTCACAACATGTATTCAAAAAAGAAAAACAGTGTAACAAGCAGCAGAACACAGGTAAATCAGTCTAACTCCTGTCCTTTCAAAGATGTATTTCCAATCATTACACATATTAGGAGGATTGGGGAAGAAAGAGTCATTAGCTATTCTTCCACCACTCCAAATGCCTCATAAGATAAAAAAAACCCGACTTAGTAGCCCTGTGTTTTAAAACACTTTGGTACTATTCCCATTCCCAAAGCATCTGAGATGGTTATTTACAATTTCCCTTAGGCAAGCAATAAATCCAATGATAACTAGTAAGCTCAACACATCGTAAACAAGATCCTTATGGCAGGCCAATTACTCCTGCACACTGTTCAACCCTGTATAGTTTATTTCTCCACAGCAATACTAGGAACTGGGACCCAGCTCACCTAGTCACAGTTACTATGTAGATCAAACTTTCCATTTCCCATTGTTGTGCTCAGGGAGCCATTTGGGAAATCTGGGGCAGTAGAGATCCAGTTAAAAGGAAATGAGGTCACTGGAAGAAGGATAATATGGATAACAATGTTGACCATTTGTTGTTTTTCTTGCAGTGGGGGTGAATGCAGGCGTCTATGCCCAAACTTTACCCACCCACCCATCTGTACAGGAGCCCAGCAGCAATTAGCAACTTTCTGGTCAGTGGCCATGACAGACTCAGGCTCAAGTCCTCTCTCTCTCTCTCATTCTCCCACATCTCAGGTAAGTGCAACAGCCACCAGGCTACTCGTAACAATTGGAAGGGCCTGTACCATTATCTCCCATTCAAACTTTTTATCTCTGCATGATAATTAATTGTTCATGAGGCCAGAGGGAAAAAACAAATCTGACTTTAAATCCCAGTGGTTGGGGCACAATGCTGGAATGAAGAGGTTTAAGTCCTTGTTCCTAATTAGGCACAATACAGATGTGAACAGATATACCGCATAAAAAAACAAGTGGAAACTAAGGTCTATTTCAGGACAATGAGCTCGCTGGTTTTGATCAGATATTTTACCCTGGACCCAAGAAACCATTTCCCAATGAAGATTTCATCAACACTGTTATGCTCCAATAAAAAACAAAACAAAACCCCTGTTAATTCCAATGAATCAGCATTTTCCAAAAAAAATATTTCATCCAAATAGTCTCCACTGTCTGTAAAGTTGAGATGGCAGACATTTGTCACACTACATACCACTAGGTGGATGAAGTCTCATTATCATGTACTACAGCAGAACAGATAACTGGACATTAGTTCCAATGAACACCCACTGGCTAACAATGTGGGTTTAAGACAGGTGTAGACACAGGCTTGAGGATGTTCAGACATGACATGCTGGTTGGGGCTCATCTGTACAAAAGCCACCAAGGTGAGCAAAGTAATGAAGCTAATTAGTCAGCGTGTTCTTCCTACCCTTGAGTAACAATGCAGAATGATTTGTGCAAGAATCAATTGTGAACCGAGGACAAAACTGTACCTGTTCTTCCTTAGCAAAGGACATTTTTCCTTCATGGGCAATTTTAAGGATCACAATCAGCAGCTGAAATTTACTCTAATGCAAGGTGATCAGCCTCCAGCCTGTGGGCCAAATACAGCCTGTGGAGCCACTGCATCTGTCTGCAGGGCTCCCCATGGGTCAGGAAATTTGGCAGTGGGGGAGCAGTGGCCATTAACATACCCCAAGCCGGCCCAAATCCCAAACTCCAAGCCCTGCGCACCTGGTCAGAGCCAGGCCATGCCTCCTTCAACCCATGGAGCCAAGTTGGGGCCAGATCGCACCCTCAGGGCCAGGTTGGGGCTGGGCCAAGGCCCACCCCCAGGGCTAAGTCACGCCCCGTTCACACTGCTGGCCAAGTTAAGTCTCTTCTCTGTGGGGCCCAACTGCCGCCAACCTCAGGCTGGACTGCCCCCCGCCCTTCTTCACGTGGCCAGACCATGCCTGCCGCACCGGCCCTGGGTGCTGGATCAGAACCACCTGGTGAAAGGGTTGGGGCTTTTGCTTTCCATTCTACAACATAAAATAGCATGACACATTTAAGCTATGAATATTACTAACACATCTTAGTAATTCAGGTTTATATACTGCCCTCGAAATGGAACTTGATTTGTATTTTCTGATGCATTGTTACAGTTTGAATTATATGACCAAAGACAAAAGAAAAAGAAAACTCTATGCTGGATACTATATAGATGATTATGGAGTACAGAAACACTGAACAAAATCATATAAGTCACATTTGTCACTCCCCTGAAACCTAAAACACAAAACATAGGGCAATCCAACACTAGGAAGCAACTTAATAATGGTCAAATTGGAGATGCTGCAAAATCCAGCTGGCCTAAACATCATTGGCTTTAATACGGAAGGCCAATAAAATATTTTGTATGTCTGAACAGGTCCAGGATATACCTTTTTCCAGTGCAGGAAATAAAAATAAAAAGGGTGTTACTTTTCTGCTCACTAGCTGTTAATTATGCACATGGTTATGCTGTGTTGTATGAACTGCATCCCATCAGTGGGCACAGCTGACAACAGAAATAGCTTTGTCTGGCTCCTAAAAAATGTGAATCTCTTTCCTTTTATTCCAAAATTGCTGCTGCAAAGAAAATTTTTTGAAAATACCAAACTTAGGGATTTTCTCTGTCATGCTATTTTTTGTATCCTAACTACACCAAGTTGAAGAAAGATATTTAACTGGAAAACATCATTTAAAGCTTCCCTTAAACAACTGAACTTTCTAATCTAGAAAATAAACGTACAATGCTTTTTAGAAGTCACTACTTTTATGTGCATCTGTATAACATGTATCCAACTCCAAATGACAAAAAGGGACTTGACATGTTGAAAAGTGCTGAGCACATACTTTCTGAAAATCTGACCTCCTTAAAGAGCAGCTTTCAAAAAACCTGGCTAGCAAGTTTGCCAGATGACCTGGGAGCACTCTCCAGATATTACAATGAGAGTGCATTACTTTCTCACATGATTTTCATCTAGCTTAAAAAAAAAAAAAAAAGGAAAAGCATGAGATTTCCCCTTTCAAATTTTTGCTCTATTTCATTTGTATTTTTATTTGCCTTTAAGTTCCCAAAGAAGAATAAATGTTGCTACAAATATCAAAGACATATCAGTGCCAGCAAACATACTGACTCAGATACAAGGTTTTTGAGAACATTTTAAAGAATTCAAACATTTTGAACTGTCCTGAAAGCAGCTATAACAGAATAGGCAACTCCCAGGTTTAAAAAATAAAGACTAAGCATTATTTAATCCTTGTGTGTGGAGATACACAAACTCAAACAAATCTGTGGCACAGGCTGTTCTCCAACAACTCAAGAAATAAATAATAATAATATCCTTATTTCAGCACAAAACCATAGACTAAACAAGATCTTAAAGAATCTTTTTTTTTTTTTTTTTTATAAACCTCTTGAAAGGGATGCTGCAGGAAAGAGAACATAGAGCAGGCTACATATTTAAAGCAAAATACACTTGGGATGATTTATGAAGGGAATACTCACGCAGTGCGTACAAGGAGAGGATTATTCCAGCCAGGCAAAACCCCTCAAAAAACCTGAGTGTGCTGAACATTGTCACATTCACTGAGAGTGCCACAGTCAGTCCAAATATCAGAATGAATATGACAGAGAAGAGGAGAACTGGCCGTCGACCAACCCTAAAACCAGGAAGGCAGCAAGGGAAAACAGTGTTAAAATCCAATATGGAGAGAACACTAGAATATTTCATCTTTCAGAAGATATTAGCATATAAAAAGAAACAAATTACACAGTTCATCCCAAATGCTGCTTCCAGTTTTTAATAGCAGCCAGTACTTTTTAAACATGTCTCTCATTTATTCGCTTATTAAATTATATTATAGCTCTGGTAGGTCTTGTAAAGATTTCACTGACAAATGCATTTATGAAAAGCTTAAGGGAAACACCACTCACTAGCTGTATCATTATCTGACCTAAAAATCATTTCAAAACGTCAAAGTGAACCACATGTAAACTGCAATAAAGAGCAAGCCATAAAAAAAAAAAATCTTAGAATGGGAGATTTGACATGGGTAAGTGAAACAAATGCCTATTTTTCTATGGCAAAGGTATCATTAGATTAATATAAGCCTCCCAGGAAGACAAGATTTTTAAGGTTCATATAGATATGTTGCTCTCCATATTCTGTAGCCACTACATTTACCAGAGACATGTCCTTTTCCCCACAGACTTGTGCTCCAGAATCGCACATAATTTCTCAACCCTTAAAAAAACAACCTTAAAAAAAGTGAGACAAATGTAAAACAGTATCACAGTCCCAGGTCTTCAGAGAGCCTGCATACAATCCCTCCGTAAGGAATGATTTGCTCCATTCATCTCCTTCAGCAGCCCAAATTTCATAGCTGGGGGGGATTTTTACAACTTGCTCCAGAAGTCTGCATTATTGTGGCCAGATACCTGCCTGCCCATTTGTTTCATCTCCCTGCTCTATCCAGAAATGCCAACAGCTGCCAGTGCTCTCCAACCTTCTCCACAAGAGAGAAATGATTGGTTTCCAGGGCACAATCTCTGTACCCTCCCATGAAGCTAGATACTGAGCTAGAACTGGAACCCATCTCATAACTGGATGGAGGAGATTTGCAAGTCAGGAGCCTTCTGAACTACTAGTAAAGCAAACACACAAACAAAATGGCAAGCCAGATTTGAAGATCCGAAGTTAACTACAATCAGCCCTTTCCCTTGAAGAAGTTTATGAGGCCAAACTATCTGGTCAGTGCTGCAACTGCCAAGGCATAGAGCCATGCTGCTTGAGGACCATAGTGAACACCACAAAAAAAAATAGTCCCTGATAAGTTGGACATGCTACATTTTAATAACGACTTTCAATTATGAGCCTACAACTGTGTGTGCACGTAGGAATCAGGATGAAGAATAATTCACAGAGAAGATAAGCTAATATTGCACCAGAATTTAGGGGTTTGTGCCAAGCATGACATGGCACATATGGAAAGAACCAATATGCACTGCTAAGGAAGCAGAAGCTAGGCATTATCTTCAAGATCGAAGTCCTACAGTTTAATCTGGTCTCATATGTACTTAACGCTTCTATTAGGTCTTTTACTCAGATGTTGCTGGTTACCAAGCAACGATGAAACGTACTGCATACATGCACCAGTGATCAGAAGGATGCTTTGTTTTATTTAAGATGGAATAAGAGTAATAAAGTCCATGGCTGGGTGTTGAGAAGAGGGAAGGGAAAGTGGATGCTTTTCTGAATATAATTTTAAGATTTAGGGAAATTGAAAGACCTCACTGGAAAATTTATCATACTTCACATGGAATTCACACTATTTTCTGAAAGTCACATGCAAGTAAATTAGTTTATGGCCTTTTCTAAGAGAGTGAGTGCACGAAATAGGTTTTTAACTGTAGCATCAGACTCTTTGACCCCTCCTGCAAAGAGCTGCAACTCAACTGCAGTAATACTGCAGATATTTTTAAACTAGAAAGTACCATCAGGCATGTTCAGGGCAGCCAGGTCAAAGCAGGCAGTTCTTAATCACTGTTACAAATCCAATGAAACATTATGGCTGACCTCTTGGTTAGCATGCTGTTTTTGCGCTTGGGAAGAGAACCAAAAACTATTTCCATAGCAGCATGCAGCTGTACTGGGAACAAGTGTTTTCAAACACAAAGAGAGGAAATAACATTATGTACATCTTACATGCTATGCTTCCAGGGATTAGATAGACTGCAGCTCAAAATAAACCCCTTGTCCCAAACAGTGACGATCTTTGTCTCATTTGAGATCTTGGAAAGAATTTTGCATCCTCTCCCCATGACAAAGATGCAAATTCATAATAACTGACAATTGCAAAAGTCCCTTATACATAAAAAGTATAAGAAGTGCTAAGAATTCTCATCAGAAGCCTGACATCGATCTTCTGTCCAACTACAAAGCTAGGAAGACTTTTGATTTTGCCCATTTCTACTCTGTTCTGTTGCCTAAATATAGCTTCAAAATCAAAAATTAAAGAAACACCAAATATGTCTTTTTTCCCATC